GGGCAGCGCATGTGACAGCGGTTCTACAGCCCCGAAGTGGTGTCCTTTAGCAGCGCAAAGCCACATCCCTCACAACACATCAATGCCATTGCGCAACGGGCACCAGCAAAGGGCCCGTGGGCTCATTTGGCAGCAGCCAGGAGTCGTCTCAGTCTCAGGGACATGTTTCAACAGGGAGGGAGGGCAGTGCCCAGGAAAGCCCCAGTGCTCGGAGACAGCGGGGGCAGGTAGCCCGTGGCTCTGTTATAATATCCCGCATGGAGAGCGGCACCAGGCATTCTCCTCACAGGAACCTGCCTGACTGCAGTCCCGCACCCCAAATCCTCCAGCTGAACCCTCCACAGTGGGAGGAGAGGTGCAGCTCCAAAGCACAGCGGAGACCTCGGCACTGCGCCCCCTGTCACCGCGATCCCCCCGCGGCCCCACTCACCGGAACGCGCCGTCCTCCGAGGCCCGTCCCGGGCAGTCCGGCAGCGGATCGCAGGCGTCGCCAGAGCCGGGGCGTCCGAGGGGCCGGCCGAGGAGGGGCAGCTCGCCCGGCTCCGCTCGGGGGGCCAAGCCCGCCCACCCGCCGGCGAGGAATTCGCTGGACACGGCCTTGGGCAGCGCGGGGGCGCGGGGCACGGCGGGGCCCGCCCAGGCCGCGATGTGGTCGCTGGACTCCGCCTTAGGCAGCATCTCCCGCCGCTCCGGCGCGGGAAAGGCGGCCCGGCCGAGCGCTGTTGGAGACAGAGGGCCACCCGGCCCGGGGGGCAGCAGGGCCGGCAGCGGGAGCCCCTCGGGCGGGGTCCGGCCCGGGGGCCGCTCCTCGGGCCCGGCGCGCCGCGGGCAGCCGTGCCCGAAGGGGTCGCAGGCGGCGTCCGGCCGGGAGCTCCTACGGCCGACCGGGACGCCGCCGCTGAGGAAAGGCGCCGCCGAAGCCCCTGCCTCGGGCAAGGGCCGGGCTGCGCTCCCGGGGCCGCGCGGGAGGCCGGGCCGGGGCTCCGCGCCGGCGGCTGAGCCCCGGTCGGCGCTGCCGCGCCGGGCCGGGTCCATCGGCGGGCGGAGACCGGAGCGGCCCCGACCCGGCCCCGCGCACCTTGCGGCCCCGCCACGTGACGTCACCACACCATGACGTCAACGCCCGCCACCTGCGCGGCGCCTTAAAGGCGCAGGAGCATCCCCGCCTCGCGCGTACCTGCCGCACCGCCCTGCCCACGTGACGGCCCGAGACGCGCCTCTCCTCTGCCCCCGCCAGCCTGTCCTTACACCTGCACACCCGTCCCTGCTCACCTGTCCTTACATCTGCACACCTGTCCTTGCATCTGCACACCTGTCTTTGTGTGTGCACAACTGTCTTTGCACATGGATGACTAACCTCGCTCATGTACTGCAGTCCTGCCCGTACACACATCTTTTGCGCATGCACAACAGCCATTGCAAGTACACACCTGTCCTCGCACACCTGCCCCTGCCTATGCACCTCTGCCCCTGCCTATGCACCTCTGCCCCTGCCTGCCTGTCTGCATTATTGTGTGTGCAGCTGTGCTCACCACTGTGGCTGTTGTGTCAGCATGTGCCGGGTGTGTCTGTGGTTTGCTGTGGAGTGTTTGCGATGTTGGGTGCATGCACACCCTTGGGCAGCCGTGGGTGTGTGCATCTGCTTGTGTGTGGCTGTGTGTGCAGCTATGTTTGTGGCTCTGCGTGTAGCTCTGTGTGTGTGCAGCTGCGTGTGGCTCTGTGTGTGTGGCTGTGTGTATGGCTGTGTGCAGCTCTGTGTGGCTCTGTGTGTGCGCAGCTCTACGTGCAGCTATGTGTGTGGCTGTGTGTGTATGGCCTTGCATGGCTGTGTGTGTGAAGCTGTGTGTGCAGCTGTCTGGCTGTGTCTGTGTATGCCTCTGTGAGTGGGCGCTGCTTTGTCTGTGCACAGCAGTGTCCCTGTGCTTGTCCTATTTACAGGGACTGGGACAAGTTTATCACTATGTGGATATAATCAAAACTGTATTCTACACCCTTCCGATGGACTGGTAATAAATGGATTGTTTGCAGCAGCTGCCCAGGGCACACCTGACACCTCAGGCTACAAGCTGGATGTTAAACAAACCCTGAGAGACAGAGGAGTGTTCTTTTATTTGCACACCAATGACTCAGCTGTGATAACTCCCCTCCGGAAAGGCATTAACACCTTCACCCCCAGCCTGAGGGGTCATCTTTGCTAATGGACCACCTTGGACTGGCATAATAGGCAGCTGCAACACCCAGACCATCAAAGACTCCAAAAATATCCCATGACTCACAGAGTTAAATCACCCATTGTGAAGCTCCCTGCCCTGGTGGAGGTACTGGGCATTCCCACCTGAACTTGAGCATATATAAACTTTGGGTTTTGGGACTTCTGGTACCACTCATCAGATCCAGAGGAGGACCAGAACTTGGACAGAACTGCGATCATCATCCGGACCAACAGGTTTTCTTTTACTTTGCACCCAGGGGGGCCACGTGGTGCTCAGCACAGGGGTTGACAAACACCGTTCTGTTCTTGTCCCAGGGTGTGGGGTTATACATCTGCTTTTGTGGGTTAAAACCAGTTTTTCTCTCTATTGTTGTATTCATTGTAATCTTTTTAGTAAATTATAACTCTGATTTGTAATCTCTCTTGAGTTGCGTTCATTTCTCACGCCAGTTTACTTTTAAACCGGCACGGTGCTCCAGTGCAGCATAGGCAGGTATGAACACCTGTGCTTGGGGTGCATACACACGCACGTGTGTGTGTGTGCGTGCCTAGAGGGAATGGGGGACCAGGTGATATGTCTTGCCCTCAGCTTGTACTTGCCAGCACCCAGGGAAGGCTGGAGCTTGAGGAGGAGGAGAATCTTGGTGAAGTATGGAGTGAGGTAGAGGAGGATCCTGGTAGGAGAGGACAAGGTCCCTGGGTCCCTGCGGGGTTGACTCACAAGCATCAAGGGAATTGTGGTTGGAGGTGGTTCCTGCCATCACGGAAGCACTGTGATCAATAGTGACAACTGGGACAGGAACAAGGAGAGCCAATATCACTGCTGGCTTCTGGAGGGGTGTAAAGGGGGATCCAGGGACCCAAGACTGATCTGCCTTACCTCCATTCTGGGAAGGTGACAGAGCAGCAAGTCCTGGAAACCACTGCTGGACACATGAACAACAACTCGTTGAGGGGGTCAGATTGGCTTGGCCACCTGATCCCCTCCCGTGATAGAGCAAGCAGCCAGCAGACACAGACAGCAGGGGACAGTGTCCACCTGCACTGCAGGGAGGCCTTGGGCACTGCCTCCCATCTGGTCCTCCTAGGGAAGCTGTTGGTGTACAGACTGGATAAGTAGAGGTCGAGGCAGGAAGGCTGGATCCAGGGGTGGTGGTGGTGAGTGACGCACAGTTTCATGGGAGGCCGGTCACTCACAGGGTCCCTAGGGGTCTGTGCTGGGCCCTGGCCTGTTTAACATCCTCATCCCCTGGATGATGGGACAGCAAATGTGCAGGTGACAGCAAACCGTGAGGAGTGGCTAACAAACCAGGGGGTCATGTGTCCATCCAGAGGGACCTGGAGAGACTGGAGAAGTGGGCTGGCAGGAATCTCCTGAGGTTCAACCAGGGAACGTACAGAGTTCTGCCCCTGGGAAGGAACAACCTCAGCACCGGGATATGCTGCAGGCCACCCAACCGGAAGGCAGCTCTGCAGCAGGGGGGCTGGGGGACACCACATTAACCATAAGGTTAGCGTGTCCTCAGGGCAAAGCAGGTGAATGATATCCTGGGCTGCATCGAGGTGTTTGTCAGCAGGTCACAGGAGGTCACAGAGGTGACTGTGAAACCACCCCTGGAGTGCTCTGTCCAGTGTAGGGCTCTGAGGAGCAAGTCCAAGAGACATGGACTTGCTGGAGGGAGCCCAGTGAAGAGCCCCAAGGAGGATGGGCTTGAGCATCTTTAATACAAGGAGGAGCTGCGAGTGCTGCGACTGTACATCCTGGAGCACAGGAAGCTCAGGCATATCTCATCCATGTATATAAATATCCAAAGGAAAGCACAGAGGATGAAGCCTGGCTCTTCCCAGTGATGCCCAGTTGCAGCACCAGAGGCCATGGGCACAAACTGGAATACAGGGGTGTCCCTCTGCACATCAGGAAACACTTTTTTCCTGGCCCAAGTTGCCTAGAGACCTGTGCAGTCTCCATCCTTGGACATTCGCAAAAGTGACCTGGACGCTGTCCTGGGCCCCTGGCTCCAGGTGGCCCTGCCTGAGCAGGGTGTAGGACCAGAGAGACCCTAGAGCTGCCTCCAGCCTCAGCCAGTCCAAGACCCCAGGACCTGTGTCCAGAACGTGCCTGTGTTGAGGGTTTTGTGTGCAGCTGCAGTGTGGAAAGTGTGTGTGGGGTGGGTGTGTGCATGCAGGGGTACATGATGGCTTGCACATGCAGAGCTGCATGTGCCTCATTTGTGTGAGTCCATACAGCTGGGTGTACATATAGTAGTGTGTGCACACACCATTGCACATGTGACTGCCGGTGCTGGTGTGTCCCTATGCACTGCTGTGTGTGCTGATGTGTCCGGACATAGGCACAGCTGAGAGTGGCTGGAGGGAAGGTAGGAATGTGTGTGTGTCTGTGTGTATCTGTGTGCTTCTGTACAGACTGCGTATAGCTGTGCAGAGCTGTGGGCACACACCCGTGCATGCGTGCGCGTGCAGCTGTGTGAGCGTGCACAGCTGTGTGTGCCCGCACGCCCCCTGCCCGGGTGTCTCAGGGTGTTTCAGTGTGTGCTATGGGTGTGCAGGGGGGGTGCGCGCGCACCCCCGGGTCTCGGTGTTTCAGCGTGTGCCGTGCGCGTGCGTGGTGTGCGCGTGCACGGGTGTGCACGGGTGTGCGCGTGCACCACGTGTGGTGGTTGTGCGCGCGCGCATCAGCGTGCGGGTGTGCACGGTGCGCGCGCGCCGCTGCGCAGGCGCGGTGCCGTGCGCGCGCCCGGGCCGGGCGGACGTGGCGACGGTGAGGGCGATGCGGGCGGTGCCGCCGGGGCTGTGGGTGCTGCTGGCGGCGGCGCTGGCGGCGGGTCGCTGCTCGGAGCTCCCCCAGCTCCGCGGGGCCGCGCTGCGGGACCTGGCCCGGGGCAAGGTGGAGGTGAGCGCGGGCAGGGCGCGCGGGGAGGGCCGGAGGTGAGCCAGTGCCCGCCGGGTGCCTGACGGGGTGTCCCTTTCCTCAGACCTGCGGCGGGTGACGGCTGAACCGCCTCAGGGAGGTACGTAGCGGGGCCGGGGGGCGCGGGGAGCCGAGGCCGTCCCGCGCTGAGCCGGGCCGGGCCGGGCCGGGCCGGCCGCTCTCCGCAGGTGAAGGCGTTCGTCACCCAGGACATCCCGCTCTAGTACCCGGCGGCGGCGGCAGCGCTGAGGCCCTGCAGGAGTGCACAGGATGGGATGGGACGGGATGGGACAGGGGCGGGACAGGATGCGAGGGGACAGGGTGTGAAGGGATGAGATGGAAGATGGGACGGGCTGAGGGAAGGATCAGATGGAGGATGGGGCTGGGTGAAGAGTGGAGGACGGGATGGTTGGGGGATGGGATGGGTCAGGGTAGGATAGGAGGATATGGAGGATGGGGTGATATGACATGTAGGACAGAAAGGGATGGGATACAGTGAAGGATGGGATGGGAGAAAATGAGATGTGACAGAAGGGATGGAGGACAGTATAGAATGAGCAGAAGTGGGATGTGATGGAGGATGGAATGGGATGTGATGGGACAGGGGCTGCATGGTCCTGCCCAGTGCTGTCTGCTCCTTGACACATCATCCAGCCATAACCTGGAGATGAAACACCTGCCCGGTGCTGACCCCGAGCTCGTGCTCCTCAGCCACCGGTACGAGGAGCTGGAGGTGAGTGGGCAGCGTGGCACCCACTGCTACAGGGCCTGGGGTGGTCAGTGCTCTGTGGATGCCAGGCTGCAGCCCCTGTCTGGGCGCAGAGAATCCCCCTGAGTGACATGACCCGGGAGGAGATCAACCGGCTGGTGCAGGAGCTGGGCTTCTACCGCAAGGAGACGCCTGATGCCCCCGTGCCCGAGGAGTTCCAGTTTGCCCCTGCCAAGCCTCTGCCCACACTGCCACCCCCCCAAGCATCCACCACTGGCATCAAGACCCCACTCAAACGTGACAAGGGAGAACACCCAGACCTCTAGTGAGGAGTGCCGCACTTGGGACAGGGTCCTGCAGCCAGTCCACAGCACAGGGAACGAGGGTGTTACAGCAGCTGGGGATAGTGCTGTGGAGTGGCAGAGCTGCCCCCCCCCGGCTCTTGCTTGGTGCTGTGTAGCCTCTGCCCCAAGGATGCCCTGGGTAGCTCAAACTTCGAGCAGGGGCTTCCTGGGCACTGTGGGCATCCCAAGGGTCCCATGTGGTGGTCATTGCCTTCCCATGCCTGCAGCCTGTTCCCTGGCCAGTTGGGAGGAGCAGCATTCCTTGCACTCCCTTGCTGTGCCCGGAGGTTTAGCTGCTCCCGGCAACTGGGCAGCTGGATCCTACCTGCATGGGACAGGATGAAACCCTCAGCAGAAAGCGACAGGTGCTAAGGGTAGATGTGCTGAGTCCCAAAGGTGGGAGAGCTGCCCCAGGGAGAGGGCTTTACCCCCCAGTAGGGTTATCTTGTATCCAGCACCCAGTAAAGCCTTTACATACAGTTGGCTGCACTGTGTCGTCTTTTCAGGGCAGGCTTGGTGGTGTGCATCCTGCACTGCTCTGTGCCAAGGGGAGCTGGGTGCCCCAGAGCTGCTCAGAGGCAGGAGAGGATGGCAGGATCACAGCCACTGCTGGTGAGCCACAAACCAACCTGTGAATGAACTGTGCTGTTCCTGTGCCACCCCCCCCCCAGCACAATGGAGGGATGAAGGTGGGCACCACGGCTGCTCTCACAGGGCACAGGGGGACGGGCACGAGCCCATGAGCTGGTCCTGTAGTGTTGAGCTGTAGCCCCATGGCTGTGCTAGCCCAGTGGAGACATCTGGTCCTGAGCCAGGGAAGGAAGCAGGGCACAGCCAGGCCTGAGGGTGATGGGGGGCAGGGGGGGCGCACAGCAAACCAACAGCACTGGTCAGGGTGGGGCACTGAAGGTGCCCCTCAGCTCCAGACATTATCAATGAGTGGAGGAGTACCGTGTGTCCCTCCAGGCTGGGCAAGCAGTGGGGCTGCAGGCAGAGAGGCCAGGAGTGGCCAGACTGCCAGTGCTCCTCAGGCACTGCAGTATGCACTGTGCCACTGGTACAAGGACCTGAAACAGAGGCATCACCCTAGGTAAACCTTTATTGTCTGGCTGGTGTTGGTACACGTGTCATTACAGGTGTAGAGACGTGACGGAGGGGCGAGCGGCGCTGAGCGCGTGGTGCCCTGAGCAGGAGAGGGGAGAAGGGGCTGCCATCCTGGCTCGCTCCTTCAGCCTTGTGCTCTCCTGGGACCTCTCACCCCTGCCCGCTCCCCAGCCCACAGGTGCTGCAGCCCCTAGTGCAGAAGTGCCCCAGGTGCACGTGAAGGTGGGAAGCAGGGTGTCGGCACAGCTGTGGAGCTGTCCCCAGGGAGGTGACACCAAGCAGGGCCTGCGGTGGGCAGAGGGGCTTCCTCACAGGGAGCCAAGGGAACCACTGACAGGTGCTGCCTGTGGGATGCCTGGCTAGGCTACACGGTCCTGCTCAGCCACTGACCCACACTGTGCCCCAGGCCTGAGGGCACAGCTGTGCCACCCAGGGACACAGGAGTGCTGCCCGAAGGGTACACAATTCCTGGAGAACAAATAACTTAACAGGCTGGAGCGCAGGGGGCAAGCCAAGCCAGGAGCATCCCCAGCAGTGCCTGCCTGGCCCTGCTCATGGGGTCAGCCCACAGCTGGCTGGGGCAGAGGCAGCTCTGGCAAGGCAGAGGCATGGGACTGCCTGGGTGTCAGAGTTCCCCCTGTCCCCAGTGCCAGACCTGTGGCCCTGCCAGACCCTCCTGGGGCAGGCAGCTCCCCTGCCCACTGGCAGCCCTGGCAGCAAGGACAGTAGGGGGGTGGGCAGGGCAGGCTCTAGCACTCTTTCTGCCGCATGCGCAACTCGTGGCGACGCAGGTGGTTGTAGAGGGACTGCACGTAGGTGAAGACGCACTTGGCGTCTGGCTTCTTCCCCATGATCATCATGTCTTCGACCTCCACCAGCGGCACGCAGTCCACCAGCGTCCTGTAGAGGTGAAACCCTCAGGCAAGCTGCCCTGCGTGGAGGCTGGGATGGAACCCCACACTGCCCAGGGCCTGCTGGCATTGGGCCCTGCTTCCCTCAGCCCCACGTGGCTCCTGCCTGCCCTCTGGTACCCCCGGTCCTGCCGCTCCTGGCACTGGGAAGATTATGTGTTGCCTGCCCTGGAGGCTGCCTGTCCTGGGGGGTTTGTCCACCTGCCTGCACCCCTTGCCCCCCAGTGCTCTCTGCCCCAGCTCTTAGTGGTGGTAGTCACACCCTGCTCAGGCTGTGCCCACCCCTCTCCTCCTCCAGCGGCTGCTGGTGCCCCCTAGGGAGAGCCCTGCTTGCCTGCACATATCTCTGAAGCCTCAAGCCTCACCGGCTGGTCCAGGGAAAGCAGGGATGGGGGGCGGATCTCAGTCACAAGCTGCCCCCTCACTCCTGCTTCAAGCCCTGGCCCTGCTCCTCTGCCTCCTGCCAGCCCGGCTCCCAGCTTTGCCTCAGACTAGAGCTCAGGCCTGCCTGCCCCAGGCCCAGCACTATTGGGGTGGGCACTGCCCTGCTTCAGTGAGTTCAACCTGGTCTGTGCCTACTGCCTCCTCTCCCAGCTCCAGCATGGTGTAGGGGTCCGTGCAGGACCCTGCTCCAGCAGCTACCAGCCTCGGGGGGCCATGGCAATCAGCCATGGCTGTGCCCCAATCCCCACAGCCTCAGGGCTCTACCATTGCTCCTCTGCTGGGGTGCCCACCCTGCCCTCACCACCCATCCAGCTCCCTGGGCCGCTTTGTCCCCAAACTGGGGCTCCCTGGGTGCTCAGGGCTGTTGACAACACGATTATGGGTCACTATGACAACCAGTCAGGGCATGGAGGTGATCTAGCCACCTCCATCCTCTAGTCTTTCTATTGGGGGAGTAGGTGGGAGTAGGTGCGGGGGAGTGGGGGGGGCAGAGAAGCAACCCTGCCACTGCTGCAACCCCCATCCTGGCCCTGCCCAGGCCCCTGCATCCCTGCCAGGCATTGTCCCCTTATGGGAACTGATGGTGCTGGAGCATCCCGGCTGCTGCTGCTGCTGGGGAACGGGCTGTGCCAGCACTGGGGGCTGAGCTGGCATGAACTGGCAGCCCCCGCTGCTGCCATGGCTGGCTCAGCTGCTCCGGCCCTGGGCCACCCTCCAGCAGGGCTCTGCTGCAAGGACAGGATGCACAAGGAGGGTCCAAATCCCATGCTACCACCCATCACCACAACATCCTCATCTCTGTCCCCCCCTCCCCCTGCTGTAGCCCCACGGTGTGCCCTGACCCTCCAGAACAGCCCCCCCCCTTCCCTCCCCCCCTCTCTGAGGACAGACCCCCAGCTGCTGCCAGCCCCTGGGGAGCACTAGGGCCCAGGAGATCCCCACCCCAGCCCCCACAGTCCCAGCCTTCCCATGGTGCCTTTGCTACACTGGTCAGTGGGCTCTGAGCCCACGACCTGGCTGGCACCAGCCCCACCTCGTGATTCGGCCACCGTGGGGATGGGGGGCCCCACTCAGAGCCTTGGAAAAGCCCCTGCCTGGCTCCGGGGGTGATGGCGGAGTAATGGCAGCACACAGAGAGCAGCTCTGCCCTTATAAAGCCATTGTTTGGGCTCCGGTGTGCCAGTGCTGTGCAGAGCCAGGGGAGCCATGGCTCTAGCACCAGACAGGATGCTCCGAGACAGGCACAAACACTGCAGCATAAGGCAGGACCTGAGCCTTGAGTCACACTTTCCAGACTCCTGCTCCTGCCCATATATGAGCAGGCAGCACCTCGGGGCTGGGCATATGCACGCTGGGGAGGGAAAGGAGGCAGCAAGTGCAAGCAGTAATGCTGCAGCAGCCCGGGGGGGGTCACCCACATTCAGGCGGTGCCACTCAGAGCACAGAGCTGAGTCCCCAGCAGCTCATCCTTGGATCAGGCTCAGCCAGGGGGAGGGATCTGTTCTCACTATTGCCCTCCCCAGAGCTGGAGAGTCAAGATCCCTGTAGCATGACACAGTCCCCACTGCCCAAACCCCCATGGGTGCTATTCCAGAAGGCCCAAGGACAGTCTGCCTCTGCCCATCTGCCAGCTGCCTCTGCCCATCTCCTGGCTGCAGTGGGGCCCTGCCTGGCACCACCGGGACTTGCCCCTTGCCCACTGGCATCCCCCAGCCTTGTCCCCAGCCGTGGCAGCTGCTTCCCAGCCGAGCCCTGGTGGTGGTGGGGCACGGGCAGATACTTGGAGGGGAAGGTTCTCACCATTGGTCCTTGGGGGGGGTGACAATGGGCTACGACTTTTTGGTTTTTACCAGCCCCTTCTGGACCAGGCAGCGATAGAATTCCTGAATGTATGTGTACACACACTTCCAATCTGGCTCGCGCATCCGGACCATGTCCTCCACGTCCAGCAACTGTGGACAGTCCGCGTGCTTCCTGGGTGCAGGGAGAGAGAGGGGCAAGCCAGTGACCACAGCCCAGTCAGGGAGGGGAGGAAGAGAAAACAAGAGACACAGATCAGTGCAGTTCCCATCCCCCCAGAAGCTGCTCTGCTCTGGCATGCTCTGGGGGTGCGCGATGCAGGGGCAGGAAGGCTCCGGGCACCCCGTGCCAAGGCCATTCAGTGAGACTGGAGAGCACAAGCAAGGGGAGGGGGAAGGGGCAGCAGGTGAGCAGCGTGGAGAGGCGTGAGGTTCAGAGGGAAGGACAGACAGAGGAGGAGGAAGAGGAGGAGTGAGGTGTTCTGGTGCGCCAGGTGCTCGGGGAGCGGGTTCCAGAGTGGAGCGATGCTCTATATAGCTCCTATATAGACCTGTTGGGAGGATGGCGGGGCAAGCCCAGCCCTCCTGCCCAGCTCCGCTTGGAACCACGCAGCACAGCCCTGGTGCAGGAAGCTCAGGAGAGGACGCTCACAAGAGCTGGAGGAGGAAGGACGAGAGGCCACCTGGCTTCCAGGCCGGAGAGATGATGGCTCTCTCAAGTCCGTGCACTGGTTCCCCAATTAAGGCAAAAAATCCATTACCAGGAGCGCCAAGAGCCAGGCCCGCGGCTCCCTTCTTGCTCCACCAAACAGCACCACGGCACCCAGGGAGCTCATGGGAGCCCCCAGCTCACCCCATGGCCCCAGACACCAGCCGAATGGGACCCCCACCCCTGGCCCTGCCCCGGGCAGGGTACTGAAGGAGAGGAGTGGAGGGGTGGGAGAGAGACAGAAGGAAGGAGAGAGGGGCTGGCTGCCAGCCCTCCAGCTGGGCGCACTCCCATCTCTCAGCACCCAGGAAAATCAGAAGCAAAAGGGGAAGGGAGGAGACTAGAGAAGCTGCAACGGTGTTTGAGCCCCTATGACTGTGAAAGGAGGTACCTGGCACGGGCAAACCCCGCTACCCACAGGCTGCAGTCCCAAACCCGGCACCTTGGGATGAGATGTACTGCCTGCAGCCAGGTGGGCTTGGGATCTGCTGCCTTGCCCTGTGCTTGGGAACCCAGACCGCCACGCTCACCCTCTCACCACACAAGACTGGGCTGCACTGGCCTCTCGTGACTCTGCCCAGGCAGCTGCTGCTTTCCCACCCAGCACCCAACCTTGTTGCATGACATGGGGGGAGTGACACATATGGGCACCCACCTCCAGCACCATCACCCCCGTGTGTGTCCCCTCGCCCCAGCAGCGAGCAGAAGAGGCTGCCCCAAGCCACCCCAAGCTCATATGATGGCATGAGAGGTACATACTCTGCAGAAGAGAAGGCCACCTCAAAGTTGTGGCGGCGGTTCTGGGGTGTCAGCTTACTGTAGTCAAATGCATCAGGGAAGAAGTTGTGGACCAAGGCACAGAAGGCCATGCCATCACTCCAGCTGGACGAGAAGTTCTGGATGTCTACATGCTGAGAAGGCAAGAGAGTTACCAAGGGACAGAGTGACCGGCCCTGGGATGGGAAGAGGAGGTGGCACCCACCTCGTAGCCCCGGGTCTTGGCTCTGCACCAGTCCAGCAACATCTGCTTGATACTGTTGGCATTGGGCACGCCAAAGCTGGAGGAGCGCTGCACACTGGTCTGTGATGCTGCGGGGTTTGGTGAGCTATGGCAAGAGACACGGGGTGTTATCCATGGGTGTTAGCTGTGGGGTGTTATCTGCACCCTGTTCACTGCCCCAGCCAGCCTGCCCCAGGCCCAGCCTCACCTCCCGCCTTCCTTCTGCAGCTTCTCCATCATGGCCTTGCGTGCCTGTGAGGTTGAGGTCTTGGGCAGGCTCTGAGCCTTCATTAGCTCCTTCTTCTTCTCTGCCTGACGCCGCTCCAGTGCAGCCAGGCTGCTCTGCCTGGAGGCACTCTCATCTTCACGGTCGAAGACGCTGGGAGAGAGATGAACAATGTGAAGGGGGCTCCAGGTGGCCCAGGGAAGGGCAAGCAGTGGCCTCAGCCCATTGCCAGCCCTGGCACTTCAGAATCCTCCATGTCCCTAGGACAGAAGAGAGTGGCTTAAGGTCCCCAGCTGGCAGACATCTTTGTGCCCATGGAAGGACCCATGAGGACCTCTGAACATAGTGAGTATACCCCAAGGACCAGGAGGCTTTGGGGACACCCTCGCACAGGGACACCGCAAGCAGATGAGTGACAGAGATCGTATGTGCCTGTCCCCGCAGACACCACCACTCACCTGCCGGTCTTCTTGGACGAGGAGCTGTAGGATGATTTGGTTTGAACAAATGTGCTGTTGCCACCTGCAGAGAGAGAGGAAAGAAAGAAGCCCTGGGCAGGAGCTGAGGCAGGCGGGACTTGGCCTGCTCCAGGGCAGTGATGACTCAGCAGCAGTGATGCCCCAGGGTTATACTCTGACAATGCTGCAGGGAAAGGGCAGGGAAAGCTCTTACTGTCCGATCTCTTCACATAACTCGACTCCATGGTTGTGGTACGGGAGGTCTTGGTGCCATCACCTGCAGAGACAAGGCAACAGGAACAGCTGGGCTGGGAGCAGCAGCACCCACAGACACCCGCTGCTGTCAAGCACCCTCACACCCATGCAGTGCAATGGGTAGAAGTCCCAGGTGGTAGAGGCATGGCAGGCAGACGGAAGACAGAGGGCACGTGCCCCCCAGGCAGAGCAAAGAGGACAGCGCAAAGCAGCAGAGCTGGGGCATCCCTCAACCCCTGCAGCCACTTGGCTTGAGCCACCTAGGGACTGGGAGAACCGGGGTGTAGGGGACAGGAGACAGGCCAAAGACATAGACAAGGCCCTGCTACCCCAAGAGAGTGGAGATCAGGTGGAATGTCACCAGAACAGATCCATTAATGATCCCCAGGCAAGCTCTGAGCAAGCCAGAAACTCAGCCCTGCACTACAGTGCTGCTCCCAGAACAGTCAGGCCAGACCCAGGACAAATAGCGAGTGGCCGAGGTGCTGTGGTGGCAGAGCACTGGGAAGGATTCTGCATGGCCACTGAAGGGCCAGCACACTGGTCAGTGAGCCCACTGCCCCCCCAGCCTGGCCCGTACTAGACTGGACGAGACGCTCAGTCTTGGTGACGGTGCTGCGCGCTGAGCCGTCAGCTGACTGAGTGCTCTGTGTGGTGGTGGTTTCGGTGGCATGGCCAGCCCTTCCTGCCATAGCCTGGCTCCTAGCCTCCTGCAGCCGCTGGTCTCGCTCCTTCTCCCGCTGGTCTGCAAACAGAGGTAGGAGACAGCATCAGCAGTGAGAGGCAGGGTGGTGGACACAATCCACACCACACCAGAGGTCCTATGGCTGCTGTTGTCCCACAACTGGCTCATGGGAAATATGATGTCTTCAGCCTGGCACAGCCTGGGGGGCAAGAGAGGACCCAGCACACAGCCTCCATCTTCCCTGTGGCTGGACAGCCCCACTCTAGCACTCCACACTGCCTCCACCACTGCTCCAACCCCAGTGGGAGTCACTGTTCCCCAAGTACCTCGCTTGCGCTGGCGCAGCTCCCGCATGGCATTTCGGATCAGCCGTCGCTCCTCAAAGTCTGTTGTCCGATCCAGCTGCAGGAGGGAGATGTCAACATCACTCCTCTGCCATCAGCTTGGGGTCCCTTTACTTTCCCCCAGGAGCCCGAGCCAGAGGCAGAGGTACCATCTTATCCAGAACATCCTCATCCTCAATCCTGCTCAGCTCCTCGACATTCAGCTTGCTCCTTCTCTCTACCTCCCTCACTTGCACCTTCTCCATGCCGTTGGGCAGCTCTGGCTCCAGCCTCAGAACCTGGGGCTGCTCCACCACCTCCGGATCCATCTGCAAGGACAGCACAGTGCAGCTGAGCCCCTGCCATCTCAGCCACCTCACTACCGCTGCTCAGGGTCCAGGCCCCCACCACCCTAACACCTGCTCAGTGCCACAGGCAGTGAGGACTCTGGAGAGGATGTGCCACATGTGGCATAAGAGCTCTCAGCTGGTGGGACACTGCAGGCATCTGCAGTGCCCAAAGCAGGCAGGGCGTCACGCCATCCCCCTGTGGCACTCACTGCCCCTGGAGGGCCCAGCAGTCCCTGATCTCCTCCCAGTCTGGCTGCCAAAATATCTCCAGATACTCCCTGTTCCCTGTCGGGAGGTGGCCGGGCCCCCAAGCAGGCAGGGGCTGCCTGGGGCTACAGGCTGGGCAGTGCCTGGTGCCCAGCAGCAGGCAAGGTGCTGGCAAGGCCAGTGCGTGCCATTAGCAGCACAAGGGATTTCCATGGAATTAAGGGACTTAGTGGAGAGAAGAGCTTGTGCAAGAGATCAAGAGCCTCCCCCGTATCCCTGCCAGGATCCAGGCCAGCTGGGCCCCTGCCTGAACACAGCCAGGACGACAAGTTCCTTTCAGCCTGACCCCCCAGCAATGCACAGCAGGCAGCGGGCCAGGCCCGGAATAGGGCACAGAGGCAGCAGGGATGCTGGAATTGGCCTGGAGCAGACATGCACACACCTGGCTCAATCCTGCATCCTGCAGGCCGGCACCTGGCCCATGGCAAAGCCATCGGCAGGAGCTGACACTGGCCACATGCACCCATGCCACCACCTGTGCCAGGCACTGCGGCAGGGGCAGGACAGCTGCCTGTGGCCTCTTGCCCGGCACGCCAGCAATGCAGGCGCTGCAGCCGTGCCACAGTGAGCCCTAGGGGTGGTAGATCCTCATGGTGTCGTGTTCCTGTGCACCGCAGCCACAGTTCCATCTCGTGCCTGGGCTCCAGACACCCCTAGGAGCCCCAGGGGCCGGTGCCCCCTCCCACCCCTTGCCGTGGGGCAGGGCTGCCCACACTCACGCTGCTGTTGGTCCGGGAGAGGTGCAGGGCCGATTGCTGGCGCGTGCTGGAGAAAGTGGGTGGATGGGCCACAGGGCCGCTGGGCTCCTCGGTGCCCTCAAAGTGGGCGCAAGGGTCCTGTGCTTCCAGAAAGAGGGTGCTGATGTCCTCCCCAGGGGGCTCCTGCAGCCCTGGTGCCAGCAGGTTGAGGCAGCGGCCCAGGCGCCCCAGCTCTGCCCGCAGCTCCAGGTGCTCCTGCTCCAGTGTCTGCAGTGCCTGCACCAACGCCTGCACCCACTGCAGCACCCACTGCAGCTGCCCCTCTGCCACCCCCCGGAACGCTGCCAGTTCCCGACGCAGCTCAGCCAGCTTGGCCGTCCCGGCCTGTGCCAGCCCCTCCAAGCTGACCCCCAGCATGGTGGCGGTGCAGGCACTGCAGTGAGCCTCGCTCAGCTGTCTGTTGCCCTTTATAGGGGCGCAAGGCACCCCCCAGCTGGAGGCCAGCCCACTCCCTGCCTGTGGGCTATTCTGGTCCCAGCAGCCGGGGGTCCCACACAGGGGTGCTGAGCCAGGCGACACACTTGGCAGTGTGTCCAGCTTTGGAACCAGGTGGCTTGGCAAGGGGAGCTCTGCAAGTGGCCCCCCTGCCCTGGTGGCTGCCGGGGCCAGATACCAGCCTGGAGACTGTGAGACACAGCAGGGGGAACCAGTCCCAATCACTGCTGTGCTGGATGAGTAACAGGGCCAACCACTGCTGTGCCCTTTCATCCGAGTGCCCTCCCACTTTGAGCCAGCATCACCCACAGCACATCGACACCTCCAGCCCCAGACTGGCACTGGTGCAAGGGCTTCAGCCACAGCCAGGATTTTTAGAGGTCTCCATACCCCCATGCTGCCTAATGCCTGCGCCACGGGGGGTCCCTGCATGATGGGCATAGGGAACACCCCACCAGCGAGAGGACACACTGCAGTGGCTACTGTCCCCAGGTCCCTGAAGCCCGCTGGTCCCTCCAACCGAGCCCTACCTGGCAGGGCTGCCAGCACTGCTGCCTTGTCCTCCTCCTCCTCCTCCTCTCTGCCCACTGGGAGCACACCTGGCGGCTGCATCTCCCGCCAAGCAGCTGATGGGGCTCAGGCCCCCCACCCCTCCAGGCAGCCCCACTAATACCTTAATGAGAGCTGACAGGTGCTCAGGCCAAGTCCGCCCAAGCGCATTAGCATGGGGAAGTGACCCCGCTGCAGGCAGTGAGCTGCCCACAGGTAGGACCTGCCGGCAGGTGTGGGCAGCACCCGAGGGCAACCCTGCCAGGCTGTGGGCACTGCCTGCCTCATGCTGAGGAGGACTGAGCTGAGGACAGGGTGAGCCAGTGGTGCCACAGACACCAGCGTGCCATAGGCCACTGGCAGTACCACGGGCCACTGGCAGCGCTGTTCCCACAGAGGCAGCCAGGCGCGCGCGGGGCCACGAGTGAGGCAGAGCTGTGTTTGACATCTCAGCTCCTGCCAAGGCGGCGCGTGGGTGCCTCACATTACCCTAGATGGGCAGGAGCAGACAAAAGCACTTGAAGGGCTGCACGCACGGCTGCCTCCTGTGTGCACCCAGCCCCAGAGTGGCCACAGCCCACTCTCCCCCCAAAACACTGAAAAAACTGGTTGTTTTTTCAGTTTTTTTTCTAGTCACACCCAAGAATCCCTCCTGGGCCAGGTGGGCTGGGACTGCCACGCCACTCTCCACTCAGGATTGCGGAGTGGGAGCAAGCAAGACCCCAACTCAGCTCCAGGGTAGGTTAGAGGTCTTCAGGGAGCCCCACCCCAAGGCAGGCTCCCCAGTGCCACGGCCAAGGTCCATCCCCAGGAGGAAAACCAGGAGTGGGCGGCAATGGGTTTTTCCCTGAGTTGCTGCCACCCTTAAAACAGACGGAGATCCAAAAAAGACTCCCAGCTCACTTTGCTCCCCCTCCCCAACTGTGGGTACATGGTGGCACAGTCCAGAGTGCAGGAGACTCATGTGGGGCTGTGCAACCACAT